AATGGTACAGCGACTTGTTTATGTGTTCTTCAAGATGCCATATAGAATAAATACTCCACCATCAGGCTCACTGAAGACTTCTAATCCCATTGTAGTCTAATATCTCTCAGAAAAGACACAATTATCATGAACAAGCTATAGGGATTAGCATTTATGTAAGTGAAAAAGACAGCATGCGCTGGACATGAGGTGCAGTGGACTGGACTCTTCACTCTTGTTTAAATGTCATAGTGTTGGCTTTCATTAAGCACATGCAGGACAGCCAAAAGTCTTCCAAAAGGGCAGAACTAGGTCTAGACCACACCATGGGAACTTGATAGGATACAAAAGAGATCTAAAGCTCTAATAAAATCTAATGCAGTGCAGATCCCTGAGTTGGCAATATTGTAGCTTCTGTAAAATTCTATTTAGAACTGACTTTGGTTCATATCAAGACCCTGCTCTCATGTTCCCGAGGAACTCTTGGCTGAACATGCTGATGGCAGATCACACTACAACACTAGAAAGGTCTGTCTAAAAATGGAGCAGACTTGTAGGCCAGTTGAAGAATACGTGTGTTTCTAGGCCTTCTTTTTCAATTTAGAACAATAAACATGTATACATCATATACCTAAGTAATGTGTTTGTGTTCACATTGAAATTCAATTCAATTCAATTCGAAAAATAACAATGTAAACATGCATATCAGTCTTTTTATGCTCAAAGACATTTTTACATTTTAGCTTGACATAAATTTTAGTAAATTTAGCAAAAAAAATAAATAAATCACATAGACAGGAATGACAAGACTTAAACATTTTCATACCAAATCATATCACGTTTTTCAATATTGAAACGTAATATTTCATATTAACGCCCTCTAGAGGCATGATGAAGCCTTAATAATAACAACGTTCTGTCCGGAACTAACAAGTTAAATATTGACTATGGAAGTATTGTACATAACACAGTATGCAAAACTAGATTAGGAAAACTCAACAGAATCCAATATAGTGCATTAAGAATTGCAATAGGAGCCATGAAAACAACACCAACGAGTGCTTTATTAGTAGAAACAGAAGAAGTCCCACTAAAACTAAGATTCATTAAATTGTCGTTAACATATTGGGTTAGAATAATAAGCAGTAATAGCAATCCAGCTGCATCAATATTAAATGATTGTTGGGAATATCATAAAAAATCCAAAGGTTTTGGTTGGAATATAAATAATAGAGCAGAACAATTTGGAATTAAAGAATTTGAGTTTAGCCCTGCTAAAGTAGCTTTAAGTGAAGTTCCTCCCTGGATGCTCCCTATTTCAGACATCAATACAGAATTACTAAAAGAGAAAAGAGAATACCAAGATGATCAAAGTTTTGCAAAATATGGCCAAATATATTTGTCTTCATTATATTACGGATATCTTAAATTATTTACAGATGGGTCAAAAAACAAAAATGGTCATTGTGGCATAGGAATGTATATTCCAGAATTTAACAAAAAATTGGGTTATAGATTAAATAACCATCTTTCTGTTTTCACAGTTGGGATGTCTAGGATAATTACAGCCTTAAGATGGATAGAAGAAAATTAACCAATTAAATCAGTCATATGTACAGACTCAATGGCAGCCTTACAAAGTTTAGAAAGCAGTATTTCTGTTAGAGAAGATTTAATCATTGAAACTCGACATATACTATTAAATATTAGAAATCTAGGAATTGAAGTTCAGTGCAGCACATAATGGCATCAAAGGTAATGAAAAAGCCGATAAGATAGCAAAAGAAGCATTGGAAAAAGAGCAAGTAGAAATTAATATTTCAATGGGAAAAGGAGAGATTAAAGCCAAGATTAAATGTGAAATAATGCAAATATGGCAAAAGGCAAAAAGATCTGAGTCTAAAGCTAAACATTATAAATAAACCAAGCAAAAATAGGAGGAAAAAGGATAAAGGATAAAAACAGGCGAGAAGAAGTAGTATACTCAAGGCTGAGATTAGGTCATACTGGATTGAATGATACATTGCAGACAATAGGGAAGAGTAATAGATTATGTAAAAGATGTCAAACTGAGGAAGATGTAGAACATGTCTTGTTTAGATACAATAAATACCATGAATACAGGCAGAAATGGCAGGAAATGGAAGAAGAAAATAAAATGGAAGATATTCTAGGAGAACAAGGGATGGAAAGAAATAGACTTAAAGCTTTGTTTATGTTTCTTGAAAATACTGGATTAATAAAAAGAATTTAGAAATGAAAAGGTAACCCTTTGTTTTTTTTGTTTTGTTTTTTAACCTAACCTAAATAAAGTATCTGCCAAGTCCCTCTACACACTCAGTAGGTGGCGATATGCAATAATTACAAGTTGCAAAAGCCAAGAAAGAAGAAGAAGAAGAAGAAGACAAAGAAGAACTACAAGTTCACATAATATTGTTTCACGCGGACTTTTTATTTTACTGGACCTCTTTCTTGACAGCAAGTAGCACGTGAGTTCAGTAGCGTTGATGTTTACACCAAAGTCATCCTAAGAAGAGCTGCAGACAAAATGCTTTTGAATGAATAAAATCTACAGCGACTGTTATGATTTTGTACAAAACATATTTAATAGCCCAGGAAATGTAGAAGTTATTAGCAGCAATGCGGCTAAGCTAAAGACTTATGTATTAATGTGCATTATTTCATATATTCTTGCCTATTTCATATGAGCTTGTGTAACCCCTCTCCCCCGGGTCCTCACCGCCACACCTAGTTCTCGTTCCGAGTGGGTCTCCGGCATGAGAGGCGGGCGCACTAACAAGGAGTCTAAAGACTGCAGCCTCTAGCTTCAGTCTCTAGTGCGTCTCTTGAGATCAGGGGAGTGAGGTTTACCTGCACAGCACCTACTCGCTGGCCTCCGTTACACTCACCCCCCTAATCCTCACTCCCATCCGGGTCACGGCACCAATGTAACCCCTCTCCCCCGGGTCCTCACCGCCACACCTCGTTCTGAGTGGGTCTTGAACCCAGGTCTCCAGCATGGGAGGCGGGCGCACTAACAAGGAGGCTAAAGACTGCAGCCTCTAGCTTCAGTCGCTAGTGTGTCTCTTGAGATCAGGGGAGTGAGGTTTACCTGCACAGCACCTACTCGCTGGCCTCCGTTACACTTGTCTATTTAGACATATTTGAAGTTAGTATAATATTATATGCAGATGATGCTGTTATATGGAAAAGAGGTCGGAATATTCCATATATAGTGATGAACATGCAAAAGGAAATTCAAATCCTAGAATATTGGTTTAAATTTTCTGTACAGAAATCTAATGTAATGTTCTTTACTAATAGGAAAATCAATGAAAACTACAAATTATGTCTTTATAGTCAGCCACTTGAAAGAGTTATAAAGTTTAAATATTTAGGAGTTTGGTTTGATGAAAAACATACATGGAAACACCATATTAATCATGTTGAAAGAAAATATAAAAAAGCCCTGAACTTGATGAGGATGATTACTGGACACAGTTGGGGAGCAGATAAACAGTCTTTAATGTATATTTATAAAGCTTTGATAAGAGCAAATATGGACTATGGAAGTATTGTGTATATAACACAGTATGCAAAACTAGATTAGGAAAACTCAACAGAATCCAATATAGTGCATTAAGAATTGCAATAGGAGCCATGAGAACAACACCAACCAACGAGTGCTTTATTAGTAGAAACAGAAGAAGTCCCACTAAAACTAAGATTCATTAAATTGTCGTTAACATATTGGGTTAGAATAATAAGCAGTAATAGCAATCCAGCTGCATCAATATTAAATGATTGTTGGGAATATCATAAAAAATCCAAAGGTTTTGGTTGGAATATAAATAATAGAGCAGAACAATTTGGAATTAAAGAATTTGAGTTTAGCCCTGCTAAAGTAGCTTTAAGTGAAGTTCCTCCCTGGATGCTCCCTATTTCAGACATCAATACAGAATTACTAAAAGAGAAAAGAGAATACCAAGATGGTCAAAGTTTTGCAAAATATTGCCAAATATATTTGTCTTCATTATATTATGGATATCTTAAAATATTTACAGATGGGTCAAAAAACAAAAATGGTCATTGTGGCATAGGAATGTATATTCCAGAATTTAACAAAAAATTGGGTTATAGATTAAATAACCATCTTTCTGTTTTCACAGTTGGGATGTCTAGGATAATTACAGCCTTAAGATGGATAGAAGAAAATTAACCAATTAAATCAGTCATATGTACAGACTCAATGGCAGCCTTACAAAGTTTAGAAAGCAGTATTTCTGTTAGAGAAGATTTAATCATTGAAACTCGACATATACTATTAAATATTAGAAATCTAGGAATTGAAGTTCAGTGCAGCACATAATGGCATCAAAGGTAATGAAAAAGCCGATAAGATAGCAAAAGAAGCATTGGAAAAAGAGCAAGTAGAAATTAATATTTCAATGGGAAAAGGAGAGATTAAAGCCAAGATTAAATATGAAATAATGCAAATATGGCAAAAAGAATGGGAGTCTGAGTCTAAAGCTAAACATTATAAATAAACCAAGCAAAAATAGGAGGAAAAAGGATAAATATGGCAAACAGGCGAGAAGAAGTAGTATACTCAAGGCTGAGATTAGGTCATACTAGATTGAATGATACATTGAAGATAATAGGGAAGAGTAATGGATTATGTACAAGATGTCAAACCAAGGAAGAGAACATGTCTTGTTTAGATGCAATAAATGCCATGAATACAGGCAGAAATGGCAGGAAATGGAAGAAGAAAATAAAATGGAAGATATTCTAGGAGAACAAGGGATGGAAAGAAATAGACTTAAAGCTTTGTTTATGTTTCTTGAAAATACTGGATTAATAAAAAGAATTTAGAAATGAAAAGGTAACCCTTTGTTTTTTTTGTTTTGTTTTTTAACCTAACCTAAATAAAGTATCTGCCAAGTCCCTCTACACACTCAGTAGGTGGCGATATGCAATAATTACAAGTTGCAAAAGCCAAGAAAGAAGAAGAAGAAGAAGAAGACAAAGAAGAACTACAAGTTCACATAATATTGTTTCACGCGGACTTTTTATTTTACTGGACCTCTTTCTTGACAGCAAGTAGCACGTGAGTTCAGTAGCGTTGATGTTTACACCAAAGTCATCCTAAGAAGAGCTGCAGACAAAATGCTTTTGAATGAATAAAATCTACAGCGACTGTTATGATTTTGTACAAAACATATTTAATAGCCCAGGAAATGTAGAAGTTATTAGCAGCAATGCGGCTAAGCTAAAGACTTATGTATTAATGTGCATTATTTCATATATTCTTGCCTATTTCATATGAGCTTGTGTAACCCCTCTCCCCCGGGTCCTCACCGCCACACCTAGTTCTCGTTCCGAGTGGGTCTCCGGCATGAGAGGCGGGCGCACTAACAAGGAGTCTAAAGACTGCAGCCTCTAGCTTCAGTCTCTAGTGCGTCTCTTGAGATCAGGGGAGTGAGGTTTACCTGCACAGCACCTACTCGCTGGCCTCCGTTACACTCACCCCCCTAATCCTCACTCCCATCCGGGTCACGGCACCAATGTAACCCCTCTCCCCCGGGTCCTCACCGCCACACCTCGTTCTGAGTGGGTCTTGAACCCAGGTCTCCAGCATGGGAGGCGGGCGCACTAACAAGGAGGCTAAAGACTGCAGCCTCTAGCTTCAGTCGCTAGTGTGTCTCTTGAGATCAGGGGAGTGAGGTTTACCTGCACAGCACCTACTCGCTGGCCTCCGTTACACTTGTCTATTTAATGAGTTTATTTACTGCCACGTTTTCTCTCAATGCATTGATATGAAAGGTGCTTGTGTCTTTTCCCAGTAAATTATGATAGGAGTAGGGTCTGGGCTGTACATTGGGTGTGTGTCCGATCTGAAGGACGCTCAGAGCCTGACAGATGCAGGTGTAATACACATACTCACCGTTGACTCAGAGGAACCTGCTGTCCCTGGATTTCACACCAAATTTGTCCGAGCTCTGGATGATGTGTCCACGGATCTCCTGAGCAGACTGGATGACTGTGTCAGCTTCATATGTGATGCTCTCAGCACACACTCTGAATCCAAATCATCAGCAGTTCTTGTGCATTGGTAGGATTAATAATTGATATTAACTTTAATGAATAATATAAAGAAACACTGTGTTATATAATACCCAACAGTACATTAGTTAATATACATTCAGATAATTACAAGTGGGATAAAATGTTGATTTATGTATTTGATTTATGTATTCGTTAAAATATATATATATATATATATATATATATATATATTTTTTTTGCGCTTACCTGATGAAAACACAACATCTGAATTTACAGGATGCATATACTAAACTCCGAAACTTAAAACCACATGTTAAGTAAGTGTTTTTCATTATTTATCCTGTAAAAAAAGGTTTGTGAGAGCATTATTATTGAAGAGCATTCCACTCATTTTTTCAGAATGAATGAAGAATTTATGGACCAGCTGGCACTTTATGAATTAATGGATTGTAAAGTAGACACCACAAATCCCTTATATAAACAGTTTAGATTGAAGAAAATTACAGAGAAATATCCAGGTATGTACATAATTTCCTTCTTTTAAACATGCTTAATACATTGTACATATGTGATATGTGGTCTCATTCAGCTTTCTACACCCATATGAGTTAATTGAATACACTAATGAAAGAAGCTTACCAGGGCTCATATAAAGGCAGTATATTTTGATCAATTCAGAACTCCAGAATATGCCAAAAGATGTCTTTGCTGTTGACCCTGCACAAACCCAGAATGCAGAAGCTGTATACAGATGTAGAAAGTGCAGGTAAAATGTCTTTTTATTTTATTTTATGCTGTTTATGCAGTATACTTATGCAGTATATTTTGAATTTATGATAATGACTGAAGTCATAACCTGCTGTTGTCTTTGGTTCCCAACAGACGCACACTTTTCCGTCACTCCAGCATTCTCAGTCACTGTGTGGGAAGTGGAGCCTCTGTGTTCTCTCATAAGAAGATGAGGATAGTGAGTGATAGTGAAGATCAGAGACAGTGCACATCCTACTTTATAGAGCCAGTGCAATGGATGGAGCCAGCCTTACTAGGTGTTATGGATAGACAGGTAGTTCCTCACTGCTTCACACATCTGGACACACAATTAAATAGAATGATCAAAACATTGTTCTTAACTGTCCATTTGTTTAATGCTCATAACTTTTTACAAGTATTCTTTCATTATTGGTAAAGATAAAGGGTTAGATTTAATATTGATAATTTAAAAAGTAAAAGAGATTGCATGATTTTCTGTGCTAGGGAGGCTACAGATTGTAGTGGCTGTGCAATATATTTGCGTACAATTTTGTTTCTTTAAAAGATGTTTTTAAAAATTATATTTCAAAGTAAAAGCTTTTGCAAAATCTCTCTTGTAGCTTTTGTGTCCCAAGTGCAGCTCAAAGCTGGGCTCCTTTAACTGGTATGGTGAACAGTGTTCGTGTGGGCGCTGGGTGACACCGGCCTTCCAGATGCACAAGAACCGAGTGGATGAAATCAAATACATCAGTATATCAGCACTCAAATGACCCGCAAATAAAGATCTGTATTATATGCTCAGAATCTGTTGTTATTGGTAGTATTTTTAGTTTAAATAGTAGCTAAAAATATTCAGTATTTTATAAATATAGTGTAAAAGGCCCTGTGCTTCACTTTGAACATACCTTTCTATAAAGTTTATTATATAAGCACTTGTTATATTTTATCTATATTATAGTTAAAAAAAAAATTGTGCAGTAATATTTGTAAAGTTTTTTTTAACATGCTTAGACTTTTTTAAGCCTCCTTAGGCTCACCATTTATTTGATTTAAAAAAACGCTAATAGTGTGTGAGATTATAACAATAACTTTTTTGTTATATTTGAATATATTAAAATAATTTTCAATTTTAATATATTTTCAAATGTCATTTATTCCTGTGATGGCAAAGCTGAATTTTCAGCAGTCATTACTCCAGGGTCAGTGTCATGTGAGTTTTCAGAAATCATTCTAATATTATTGTTGAAAACAGTTGAGCTGATGAATATTTTTGTGAAAACTTTAATGAATAGAAATTTCAAAACAACACCATTTTTAAATAGAAATATCTTGTAACCTTATAATTGACTTTACTGTTACTTTATTCACTTCATGTCACTTCATCAATGTTACTTCCTTCACATTTAATGTATCCTTGTTTCTTTTAGGGGGAAAAGAAAAAATCTTAACTGACCCCAAAACTTTGAATAGTAGTCAGGATGTTGGTTCTGTCTCTTTCCATAAGGTTTGGGGTCAGTAAGTAACCAACTTTTACATTCATATTGTAAATATTAGCCTAGCTCTCACAAAAGATCTCAAATGTGCTGCAGAAATGGGTTTTTCATCCAGTAGGTGGCGACAGATAGCTAGTACTGTGCAGTTGTACTACATTTTGCGCAATATTCAAAATAGTGGAGACGAACAAAGGAGTATTAATTATTGTTTACACTGGCGTTATAGATGACATATTAAGCTCATTTAATGTAAATGTGAGATTATTTGACTTGGTTAGGAGTACTAGAATATTAGTGTACTGTATTAATCTCTTTGTAACCAGTTTGACTTCTGACTCGCTTAATCTGCTGAAAAAAAGAAGAAGAAAAAAAAAACCGTTATAAATTGCCATCACGTGATTTTTTTGCGGCGCCACACAGAATTTGGTTCCACTATTGGATGTCATGTAGGCTACTGTGTATTTGTATGAAATGTAGCACTAATACAGATTCATGACCATGTGGTTTCCTCTTGGCCCCCAGTTCATAGATGTTTATATGATGTTTATTGAGGGAGTCTGAGTGACACTGTGTGTGGTTATGGCATTGAGTTGTGAGATCCTGTTGTGTTTATGAGGGTCATATAGGGTCATATACTCCATGTAATGACCTGAACTCTCTCTGTGAAGTTTGAAGGAGTGAAGAACCGCCCGCTGCATACCTGCGTAAGAGAGAGGAGCTGGATTTCAGGAATAGAGGAGCTGAGAATGAAGCTGAATGAACTCCTCAAAATGAAATTCCCAAACACAATATGTACAGTTGTTTTTGCTTTGCCAAGAACATTTAAATATTAATATAATCAAATAAATGTTTTGGCAGGAATATATGTGGTACACTGAGATTACAGATTAGGAAAAGAAACCAGGAAAATGTGCTTATGTCAACCCACTCCTTGATGTTGGAGTCATGCTCTTGGTTAGAGCTGAGATGGAGGTGTGGAAAAGCTAGGCATCTGATTGGTTCAGAGACCTGCTTAAAGCTGTAATCAAGCACTTTTGTGTGACAGTCTTGACCTTTTCAATAGTAGCAATTTGGCCTAAAATACACGTTTTTTTTTTGTTTATACTTTCCTTTCAAGAATAGTTAGAGTAAATAACAGTGTTTACAGACATGCCATACATCTGGAAATAAGAAAAGATGCTGTTCTTACAAATGGAACAGACAGTATATTACCTAAATTGTAAAATTGCTATTGGCTGGGTGTGTGAGACTGAAGCAAAAGAAAGTGAAGATGCTGTGTTTACCTTTATTACTCTGTGTCCCAGTGTAAATTATTTATATTTTTTAATCTGATTTAAAATCAATAGAACAGTTGTTTATTCTATTTGTTAGCATTTTCAAAAGTATCACTACAAAGTCAAAATGGTAATATAAAATGTGTAAAAGCGAAAAGAAGCTAATGTGCTACAGCATGTTAAATAAAGGCATCATTCTATTCATTGCTGTAAACATCAACTTTCCAAATAAATACAGTTTTAAATTGATTTGGTTATTTAGGACACCAGTGACTTTGGATAAAAACAAAGTGAATAAAACTAAGTCAAGAAACATTGTTTAAAATATCTTGCTTTGTGTTAGAAGAAAGGAAATCTTATTTTTTGGGCAAACTATCCCTTTAAAATTACCAATTTTACTAATATCTTAAATGGTATATACAGATGTGCATGATAGTATGCTGTTCCACATTTGAAAATAATGAACATGCAAGTATTTATTTTCTCTAATGAGTTCACGGAGTAACAAAAAAGTGGTAGATAGTTTCCCTATCTAAATCTATGAATTGAATGTAACAGCATTTGCATAGCAGCAGTAGTAAACCACAGATTTCTATGGATCAGATGTTGAGCACATGGATGGAGTTCACTGCTCACACAACATCTGGGCCCATTAAATTGGCCTATACAAAAAATTAAGCTGCAGAAAATTAATTCGAATGCAACTGAGATTTCACATCTTTGAATTATTCAGAGATGTTGATTATTTTGAATTATAGTTTGTGGTTAAATACTGTTGTTAATATCAGGATATAATTATTTAGGTGCTTGTCACAGAGGGTCATGACAATAAGGAGAGAATTAATACAAACTAAAAGTCCATGCAAACTAAAACATTACTGAACAGAACCATTACAGTTTCAAAGTAGGTGTCAATTTTTAAATTATACATACTAACATTTGTATTTTCTCTTTAATTTATCTCTGAAGTGTAAAAAGAAGTGAGTAATATGTTTGTAAAACAAAAACAGTTCTGTCCTTGTCTTCAAAAGATTTTCATATTGATCTATAATAATTTTAATATTCATCTGTAATCATACCTACAAATTGTAAGTTTTCTATAAACCAACTTTTCAAATTTGGGTGAATTCTTCCTTTAAAGAGCTCATATGATGCTTTTTTAAAGATCATTATTGACTGCAAACCTGATTGCAGGTAATTAACAGTGTAAATGTTAAATGTTTTTTTTCTATCAGCAAATATGTCCAACACATTTCATGTTGACCGTGCGTCTCCAGCCAGCTCTCTTTTGCAGTCTAAATCAAAAACAAAGCATGTCTTAAGACACCGTCTTAACTTAATTAACCTTGGACTAGTTTTAATTCCTGTCAGGGGATAGACCTCTTCCATGCCACGTCTCCAAATGCTCCCCTTCAGAAATGTCACAGCAATGATTCATGCCTCTGTCAACCAAAGACACATACTGTAAGTGGCCACAAAGCAGCTGCAGAAAATTGAATCAAAGCACATATTTTACAGTTGATCCATCTGCTATCTTTAGCGTTTAGCTTCTTTCATTTTAAACATCTACAGACTTTAGTGCTTCCTTCCTTTGTCTTCTCTTTTCTTAACGAGCAGTTATGCATTTTTGTCGTATCACAGTTCAGTAATTTCATCAAAATTTATCACACACTAATACTCATTCATGTCATTTGAGTGAAACTGGCAGGCTTTGTCTATTTTGCCTTTGGTATTACATTTGTTTACTTAGTCTCTTATAGTCCTTAGTTTTTTCTTTTAGAACTGTTTGATCTTTAATGGAGGATGCGGTCAATGGAAATGCACTCAGATCCTCTTGTCTCCCCCAGAATTTACAGCATCTTACTCTTTAAAACACAGATTTGTTGCTGTGGTTATTGAGGAGGTAGAAGTGAAAGCCCTGAAGTACAGTAATTCTCTCTTCTAAAGAAAGGATTTTCTTCTGTCACAAATTTTAAACTGTGGTTGTGACATTTCTATTGGTTTAGTCAGTTATTGTGCTACTACAGTATAGCATAATTGATTCAGTTATCAAATCAGACAGAATGCATGTGGAGAAAGGGCTTCCTCAGGGTGGTCTTATAAACTGTTTCACCCCTTTTAAAGTGCAATTGTGTTTAAACATTTGGCTATCTGACATTTGTGGAAAAGGCTCAGGAGACATCCTGTGCGAATTACTTTTCAGGTCATTGGAGAGCCTCAGACTCTAATATTTAAGAAACATGTGCTGCCACAAAGAGGATATGTGTGAGGTTTTGCAATGTGTGTTCAATTGAGGATTGGTTTTTAAAAGAGTTTTGCTGCATTAACTAAAGCACCGAAGAAAAAATACATCTGCAAACTTGCACAACCTCAAATTAGCATTAAAATGCAATTAAGACTTGGACAACATATAAATATTAATCTATTACAACATATTAATTTCATATCATTTGGATGTTTCGCTTGTCTCTGTGTTTACAGAAGGATTAGTTGAAGAATAAGGTTCCTGTCTCCATCTTTGCCATATTTACAATGGTTAGGTTTTTTGCTGAGCATAATTGCACAGGCTTTTTCTCATGCATATCAGTCCTTTATTCCAATTCCAGCAACGTTTTTTTTTTCCTACGGACCTCACAGATGGCCGTGCTCCCAGATTTGAAAAGGTTTCTTTGGAAACCAAATACAACATTGTGGTTGGAACCCAAACTGCTTTAAAGCCAATGCTGTTAGATGGCCTACACAAACTGACCCCAGAGTAGGTCTGAAGATGAGCTGACTGGGGGTATTCTGCTGCAGGAGGACACTGAAGACATTCTCTTTTGACTTTTTCCTGTGTGTGAGTGAATAGCTGGACAGGACAGTGAGGACCACTGAAGCACTGGTCATATAAATGATGGATTATGAGTTGAATATTTAAGATGGTCCTTTTCTTTTTCTTTTTCCGCACAGCACGAAAGCATGTGAATGAAGTGGAGCACCAGCAATTTGGCCTCCCCTTCCAATGTGTTGTGTAATCTGTTCACGTT